ATTCATTCCCATTGCCATCAAGGAACGTTTCATGACCCTCCAGAATCCGCTCAAGCATCGTACTCTGACTCTCGTATGTTGTGGCTTAACGACCCCAGGGTAGGTTACAGCATGTATGCGTAAATAATACTATGCCAAAGGCTGTATGATAGAATAAATCGTCCTCAGAAATATCAATGATTATTTTTTTAATTTCATAAACCTAGCTAAGATTTTCGCTTTACTGTGTTTGACCATTATGCATTTTTTATTTAATGTTTTGTTAATACTTGTGTTAATGTTTTATGAAACTTGTAAGACTTTAGTTAACTGTTTGTGTATCTGTACGAATACAAATGTTTAAAGGAGTCAGATAAAAAAAATAAGACAGCAAATATAAAAAGAGGTTTTGTTTAAGCCCAATAAAACCAGTCGATTAAAAGGAAATTATTAAATTTTACAACCGGGAAAATAAAGACATTGAGTCAATCTTGAGTTTTTACAATCTCAACGAAGAAACTTTTCTCGGAATATTTCATCGCTCCTTGGGACAAGTTATCTTACAAAATTCTCTTCCGGTTTCTTCAGGCATGGATTTTCTCAATCAGCCTCGCCTTTTCGTGTTATTCACTCGTCGAGTTATTTAATAAGTGTTTTTCCTGGCAAAGCTGTCATAGACAAAATCACGAGCTCAGTCGATATATATATATATATATATATATATATATATATATATATATATATATATATATATATAATACACACAAAACTTGAACTTCATTGATTATTATTTTGATGTGTTATCCACGAAGTTTCGCAAAATAAGGGCATCTTCACTTCTCAGTGAGCTCTGGTGACATTCTTCTTATTATTATCATTATAATAAATTTAAGTTGCAAACATAAAGCCGAGGCTCTCACTCAGCTTTTCACCGACTGGATAAATCATTCTACGTTGTATCTTGATTCCAGTTTGTGTCGGTGAGCACAAAAACTAGGAAAGGCCCTGCGTGTTACTGCTGTTTATACGATATGCTGGGAATAAGGCTGACACTTACTAACACAATTCGCCCTTAGATTGACAAAACGAAGAAATCGCAGAGGGTAAATCTAGTAACGCTCGACAAATAAAGTCAGTGTTATTGTTTCTATAAACAAGAGTTGTTTTTTTTAAGTCGCTTCTTTATTTATTTCCTCGTAACTCGCCCTTCGTTCATGAGGACGTTTCAACTAGTGTCGTTTCAGGCTTTCTCAGATAAAAAAAAAAAGTGGGTGGGGAAAATCGGCAAGTGAGTGAGATGCCCATCACCATGAGGTGCCCAAATAGGGTTTTTGAATGCAACGCGAGTCGTCTCTGTCGGTACACATTTTTGTGTGCTCAGCTTACAGGCTCTTGTTCATCGCTGATAAAAATACATATCCAATGATGGTGACTATATAGAAAAATAATATTTTGTAACTGAAAATATAATCTGTCTAATGATGTTATTGTACAGCCTATTATAGTTTGCGTGGAAATAAACAGGACTCATTACATTTGGTATAACCATGTTCTAGTCACACAAACATACACACACGCACACATGATACATTTACGGAAATGTAAAAACCCATACACCGGGTTTCAATCTATGACCTATCATATCACAAACGAGAGCAACTGTCTATCACTTATCAATATCCCTCAGTGACATAATTTCATTATATGCACATGCACACACACACACACACACACACACACACACACACACACACACACACACACACACACACACACAGAGGCCACAAGATTGCATTCAAACAGGAAAGAGACTGTCGCCACTGGGTGTGAATCTAAATGTCCACCTTTATATTTATACACGCTCTGTCCCTGATATTGATTACTTTAGTCTATAAATATAGCATACCTTAAAAGTATATTTTATCATATATATATATATATATATATATATATATATATTTTTTTTTTTTTTTGAACAATAAAAAATATTAAAATTTTTTTAAAAATTAAAATCTTCAGACACACTGGGTTGTATATTAATATTCCTTCGTTTTTATAATTATTTCATTTAGATTCCTCGACAGTTTTCTGCCAACACGGCCATCATCAGGAGAAAAATAATTTTCTGCTTGCTGGTAGCAGTGAACTACAGAAATGAATTTATATATATATATATATATATATATATATATATATATATATATATATGTATGTATGTGTGTGTGTGTGTGTGTGTGTGTGTGTGTGTGTAAAAGTAGACATTGAAGTAAACACCAAGAGGCGACAGTCTGTTTCATGCTAAACGCAACCGTTAGGCAATGTGTTTTTGCTCAATTGTTTTATATAAAGATCAGTCATGCATTGTGCGTAGTCTCTTGTATTATTCAAACTATTGTTTTGATGGCCAGTAACGGTTGGGTTATGAATTATGTTTAGGAGATACTGAGTGGGAATAATTGTGAATCCATTATTGGCACTTTAACCCATGAATGCCTTAAAACCATATTTTAAAATATATATATTATATATATATATATATATATATGTGTGTGTGTGTGTGTGTGTGTGTGTGTGTGTGTGTGTGTATATATATATATATAATATTATTATGAAAATATTTTATTATAATAGATTACAATAAAAACATTTTACATAGCTACACAAACTTTTATGTTTCGGAACTATAATCGTTCGGTGGTACGTACAGGCCATGGAACCAGTCCTCCCTTACCTATCTATGTTTCATGGTAGATGTCAGCCAGTGCATCGTGAACATTGTGACTAAAATGTACTGGAGCCCCATCATGCATGAAGCACATGCGTCTTGGTATTAGCAGGCCTGGAAGTGTGTTCGAAATAAATTCCCTGTAGACAGCTCTCTAAGACGTTCTAGGAAGACATATGAACCTACCAGACAGTCACCTACAATTCCAGCCCACACATTAATCGTAAACTGATGATGGTGTCGAGCCTGTATTATACCATGGGGATTCCGATCTACCCACAAATGTTGGTTGTATAAATTTGTTATTCCATCTTTTCCAAATGTTACCTCATCCATAAACATGACTGACGAGACAAACAACGGATCTGCACACGTTGCAAATGATACGGATACTGGAGCTTCTCTTGACATACCCCCCATGCGTTACTACGAGATGTACGATATGTTAGGACCACTTGACGTGTGCTGATACCTGGATCGTCTTCGACAGCCTGTAGAATGTGTCCTTTGTGGTTAGGCGTACGAGCGAATCTCGGTCTTCCTCGATCCATAGTTTGTAGTGCGACGGATCCTGTCTTAACAATGGGAGGATAAACAGCAGCAAAAGTCGGATGACTCGGCTGCTTTTGGCCTGGAAATTTGATACATCCGTGCAGCCTCGCGTCCATTACCATTCGCGCAGCCGTATGTAAAAATCATATCTGCCTAGCCACTATATGAATATCCTGCCATTGTTAAACGGAACAAAAGTGTTTTTGATACACCGCACACACACATATATATACATATATATGTGTGTGTTTGTGTGTATGTGTGAAAAATGTGTGTATATCAATATATATATATATATATATATATATATATATATATATATATATATATGTGTGTGTGTGTGTGTGTAATATATTATATATATTATTATTTATATATTATATGCGCGGTACGTATTAGAAAGCGCTCAATAGCAGAGAAGAGCTAACATATTTGGTTGGATTGATGTGAGTTTGTGACACGCAACCTACATAAATCCAAAATTTTAAAAAATTAATCAGTTTATCTGACGATCACAAAAGCGTGAAACCCAGGGTCACAAACTCACACTAATTCAACCATATATATATATATGTGTGTGTGTGTGTGTGTGTGTGTGTGTGTGTGTGTGTGTGTGTGTGTGTGTGTGTGATAAAATATACTTTTAATTTATAAGGTTTAAAGTATCCCGGGTATCGGGGATAGATCCTCCTTCCTTATCAATACCCGTTCTGGATATGACGATAAACTACATCTGCGTCTTGGCTAAGACGATAAACTACGTCCAACAGCAAGCATCTGACCAGGAGGTTTTGAGCGTGGAACCACCTCTTAATTGCTGGTGTTTCTAGATCCACCCTGACCCGGGGTGGTAGCACCTGTTAGGGTCCCAAATTTGTGTTAAAATAGGTTTTAATACCAGAAATACTTTGTAATAAAAAAATTATTACCAGCAATAATTTTTTAAGAAAAAATTATTATCAGCAATACTTTAAAAAAAATACCAGCACTACAAACAGCTATACATTCTTTGGAAAAAATATCACCAGTTGTAGATTTCTTAAGGAAAAATATTCCCAGAAATAGATTTTTGAAGAAAAAACTTTACCAGCAATAAAAATTTTGTCGGCATTAAATAACCCATTGAGGTTGATATGCCGTAAAACAAACCAAATCAAACCAAATCCTTATCAATACATCAATACTCCTTCGTTAATCACATAGTTCGAACATTATACAGTGAAATTTTCAGATCAAAATTCAGTTAATAACGATGCCTCAAGTTACAGATTTTCCGTCGTCAGTTGTCAATGTTCTCTGGAAAAGCCAGGATTACGAATGTTCGTTTTCAAAACAGGTTGGCTTGAAGGATTAACGCAATACAATCTTCCCATCATTTAGTCTCGTGTGAATATCTGTATCGCACGTGACCCCGATGCATGCATATATTTCTCGGACATACGTACATAATCATATTCCACACGTATACATTCCGATATGCACATCTATACAAGCACATACATATATACGTATACAGACATCCACATACATTCTTAATACATGCAAATACACATACATGCAAATACTTCCATATCACTGCAAACATTTCTTATTCATACGTTTATGCATTCTCACATACATACACATGCATATATTTCCTGTACACCAATGCGCACATTCCATGTAAATAAATATACGCGAATACACCAGGCGGACAGACAAGCACTATTGTCGAATGCATTTTTTTTTTTTAAATGTAACTTACCTGATAATAATCTACAGCTGTTATAAAGCTGTTATAGGGAAGCAAAAACCCAACCCCGGACATAAGTAGGGCCAGGTAAATGTAATTGCATGAGTCAACTGGAGGTTTGATCTTTTCTTTAGGCGGTGGTGGACGTTGGCCGGTTTCAGCTTTTCGCTGGTCAGCAGGCGGTTCTTTCATCTGGCAATAGCCTCTCGTAAATGTTTCATCCATTCTTCAACAAAGATGTTTAGCGAACCAGAAATCAATAAAGTCTTTTACTTGTTTACTTGGTTTTCCGTTCACACTGCAGGTGGTTTAGCACCAAATTTCCTCGAAGTTAGGGGGATGAGTGAGAGTGACGAAGCATCAACGAACTGTTGGCAAGCTGCAATGAAAGATAAAGAAGGAGTTAGAATATTTTATATACTTACCATATATTTATGCATAAGTTGAATTATTAGGAACAGATTTGTTATCCACAATCTTCTGTTAAAAACAAGTATTGTGATAAATCTATTGACAGGTAATAGTTTGAAAGCTGAAATTGCGTTGGTTCCGGCTAAATCACCAGAGTTAAGCAACAATAAACCTGTTTAATACTTATGTTGGGGTACAAAAGGCGACTATCTCCCTTTAGTCGAGATACGTTACGTAACAGCTGCTTCGTGACATCACTCCATACAGTGACGAGAAGGCCAGTCATTCACTTGGTGTACAGGAGCCAAACAGAGAGGTTACTTTTAACTTGGGTCTCCCACAGCCCGGTCTGAGGCTAAATTTGCCTCCCCAGCAACTTACAAATCTATGATGCTGTTTCCCTTTGGTAATATATCTACTCCAGATATAAAAAAAACTCTCGCTCGCAGTCCCCAATTTGGGAAAACCTAAGAATCGCCTGGGACATAAGAGATGAATCTGGCCCACTTGAATTTGGAGTCCTAAACATGGCTGCCCCAGAAACACAGAAGAATCTCTATATTATATGTAAACCCTATCTTTTCGTTCTTCGTAAACTCTGCTTGACTGTGTAGATATATGATATATTTTTCTCTGTGTGGGGCACGTGTAAATATATATATATAGTTTTGCGTATGTCTTAGTCTCTCTGAGAAGAAAGCCTGTTTGTCATTTATTTTCCTTTCAGCCATTGCGTTTCGTCTGTGAAATACGGTGTTGTTATATCGTGGATTTAATAATGCCCATAATGAGGGAAATACAAATGAGAGAATAAATTTTTCTTCTATATATCTCCCCGTTATACTTAGATGTGTGACTAGTGAGGAACAGCACATACTTGTAAACAGTACAATATGTCAAAGTTTAGTAAATCCGTGCAGGAAAGGAAATGATCGGAACTTAAAATTATTTACCAATCCCAGCCAACAGATGATAGGGACCTAAAAATCTGATTAATGGATCCCATAGGGAGACACAAAGACCTTTACGGAATGAGGTCAAAATAATCGACAAGAAGAAGCACTGCCGAATAATTAGAGAGAATTTGCCCATATACTACGCTCAGATAACCCGATCAGCAAGCCTAACATAGACATTAATAGCTTGTAGGAGACATTAATCAAAAGGGAGAAAACTTGGAATTACGCAGACATATTATGAGAAATAGGGTGGGTAGTTGAAAAGCTCAAATGGAAAACACAGGCTGTGTGGAGATCGGTATATAGTCCCATGGACACTTAAATCGGATATGACGTATATCAGGGGAGATAAGATTCGATAACAATCTTGAATACTACAGAGACCTGAGAAAGTCCGGATAGTATATAGCATGTCAGTAGCCCATATTAACATGTAAAATAAAATAATAATTTATTCAGATATATGAGATACTACGTTAATAAAATATGCTTCTTTCGCCTGTATATATATTTTTATTTATTTCTAAACAAAAGAAAATACGTGGCTCCGTTTATTTTCGTAATAAAACCTGATACGATAGCTTGCTCATACAAATACATCCTAAACATTTCACCAACATCGATTGGTTAATAGCAATTTTATTATGGAGGCAGTGACATGAATAATAAAATCCAATATAATGTATTAGAGTATATGTTATACACTTTGCATTTGTCTTCATATGTGATTCCTACTCTTTAGGGGATTGCAAGAGTTTTACAGTTGTTTGAAAAAAAGAGCAGTCCAACATGAAAAAATGCCTTCCAAAAGTTAAGCAAAGTATTCAGTCAGTTATGTGCCATGCGTGATACACGCTTAGGCGATCATGTATCTTTCGATACATGACTGAAGGGGCAGATTTTATTTCCTGCAGTCGATTGCCATTTCTTTCTGCAGTACACCAGTTGCCATCCAAGGCTATAGAACCCGGTCTATTCTGCTATTTACCCATAGTTGGGGGGAGCAGAAAAGGATTCATAACTTCATGATACTTCTTTTCGATACATGACTGACGAGGCAGATTTTTCCTGCAGTAGGTTGCTATTTCTTTCTGCGGTAGACCAGTTGTTATCCAAGGCTAGAGAACCCGGTCTGTCCTATTATTTACTCATAGCTTGGTGGAGAAGAATATGATTCATAGCTTTCCCAAGGGTATTAACACCTAAGTGAATGTAATGCATTCGACTGGAATTCGAACTCGGCTTTCCGATTCCTCAATCTAAAGTATTAGGAAACAGAAAAGTTTTGTACACTATTTACATTATTCGGACTATTGTCCTCATCTTTGTTGCTATGTTTATCACAACATGGCGACAAAGATGAGGACAATAGTCCGAATAATGTAAATAGTGTACATAATACCTCATCACAGAAATATAGACAGATACAAAAGTTTAGAAACAGAGTACTGAACTGTTCCACAATACCATTCCTTCTATATGGCACCGAATACTGCACAAGAAAAGACTTGAAGCCGCAAAAATATGCTTGTATAGAAGGATACTGAGAATACTATGAACTAAACAACTGAGCAACGACAAAGTTTTAGAGAAAATGGAGACAAAATGAAAAGTTATACTTAATATAAGACATTTCTAGGACACATAACGAGGAAAGAGGGGTTGGAAAATTTGATCCTCACAGAATAGATTGAAGGTTAAAGGAACAGAGGAAAACAACACGTAACCCCTGCCTAACGAGCTTGTGTAGTTGGCAGATGAGAGATTCGGAGAGATATCAAAAAGACAAAATTTACTAAGAGCTACAAAGGACAGCAAGTTGTTGAGAACCATGATCGCCTACGGGCTGAAGGGACATGGCACATAGAAGCAGAAGAAGATAATCTCCCTCACGAGGTAGATTTTATTTTGATTATAATTTTATTTCCATTTTATTTTCTTATTTGGATTGGACCTTTTACTAAATAACCCCGTTCTTGAGAAAAATCGCAAATAAAAGAAAGAAAGGAAAAAAAGAAGAAATATAGAAATAGAAAAAGATAAAGGAGTAATGAACAAATGAAAGAAGAAAAGGAAGAATAAAAAAGATAAAATTAAATACAGAAAGTGCCTAAAGGATATCCAACCATGTATATATATATGCGCGGTACTTATTGGAAAGTGCTCAATATCAGTGATAAAGCTAACATATTCAGTTGTATGAACATGAGTTTGTGACCCTGGGTTTCCAGCTTTTGCGATCATCAGGGTCACAAACTCATATCTATATAACTGAATATATATATATATATATATATATATATATATATATATATATATATATATATATATATATTAGTTTTATTTGATTATGTCGGATAAAAAAATCATTCAACGAAGTACTGTGATTTTCGTTTCAGGTACGGATTGGAAGCTAGTAGATATAGATTTGTAGAAATGCCAAATGAGAAATGTGTATTTCTTAAATAGATAAACTTTGCTTTATCAACGTGGCTTTGTCGAACTGGTTAAAGCATGTTTCAGCTATAGACGCAGTTTCTCTGATGAAAAAGGTGATACAGGCTCGATTCCTGTCGGAGGCATAGTCTTTCATTAGTAGATTTTCTTAATGTAGTCCAGTTATTAATTTAACTGTTTAAGAAAATAAAAAATATATAAGGATTGCAACTGAAATAAGAGTATCCACTAAAAAATAACTGAAAGATCAATGTCTACTAATTACTATATTCAATATCCAAATTAATATTTTTCGACCAGTCAAATTATTTCCTGCGAAATTTACAAGCGATTCATTAGGTACTGGTTGAATCGCTTTATTCTTCACTACTTACTGAATTTGATGCAACAATGTTGACCATGTTAGACTTTTAAAGAGCCAACTACTACAATGCTAAGCAAATATTTTCGCCATGCTTCGTCTTTCACACAGCATCAATTATAAGTGGGCTTAAATTTCTGTAATCTTTTAGATAATGTCAATTTTATATAAAGGCATAAAATTACCTATAAAATATGGCGCATGCCTAATTAGCAAAGAACACTTCGCACATATTCTCTCGATTCATTTATTTGTTTAAAATTTTGCGCGCGCTCGCGCACACACACACACGCACAGATATTATCTGCAGTTTTAAAGCACGTGGTACATGACTGAACAATGAGAATCGAACCAAAGAAAATTGAAAATATTTAAGTTCTTTCTTTTTCTCTGTTTTCTCGCAATCTCTGACGAAGTTTTAATAAAAGTGAAAAATGATAGATTGATATACGTTTCCTATTTGTTCTTTATCTCATCGCACTGTCGGATTCCTATCAATATTTGATTTATATTTGATCTTCAACTTTATATATATATATATATATATATATATATATATATAGTTTATGCAAACTTAGGTAATCCGTATGGGTAGACCTGAGGAGGATGATATCCAGAGAGCTCAATGTAAAATTCAGAGCAGATATGTTTGAATAAAAGACAGACCACGTTAAGATTCCATGTAATAAGCTATTTCACGATAACCCCTTTAACAGGGTTCTGGATCATCAGACTTTACTTCCAAAAGATGAAATGAAAAATGAAAAATGAAAAGAAATTCAAATTTCTTTTCATTTTTCATTTCAGCTTTTGGAAGTAAAGTCTGATGATCCAGAACCCTGTTAAAGGGTTATCGTGAAATAGCTTATTACATGGAATCTTAACGTGCTCTGTTTTTATTCAAAAATATATGTATATATATATATATATATATATATATATATATATATATATAAATTAAAAGTTAACTTAAAAGTTTAGTTAAAACCTCTACATGTTATTTT